TCTTACAGCTAGTCATGGCAATATTTATATATACACGTATATCTCTGATATATATATATTAATTTATTGATATAAAACATTTGAATTGCACGAAATTGCATTTTTCTCGTTACGAGTTTCGGTTTGGGTTGGCCGTTTTTTCAATTGAACACGCGGCAATAATTTGTCAAAATGCTAAAACATGAATTTGTGCGAGATATTTGTCAAAGTTCGTAGATTCAATTGATTTTGGCTAAAAGCAAAAAAAAAAAAATTGCGTTCTCACATCATTGCCGAAACACATTAAGAGCGGAATGTGCACAAATAAATACTTAATAATGCCAAAAGACCAAAGTCGGGCAAGCTGAAAAGTCCCTCACGACAAGTGCAAGTCACTCTCAAAGCATAAGAGAAAGAGAGAGAGAGACAGACAGAGGGGGAGAGAGGCAACCCAGGACATTAGCATGAGAATAAAATGAAATTACAGTCTTTAAAATAAATGTATGCGAAATTTTCAAGCCAAATGCCAAAAAGTATTCAACTAAATGCGAAATAAATTTGGTAGAAAACAAAACGAGCAAAAGGCCAAAATAAGAACGCCAAACATTGTCGAACTTTCAAATACACTCTATCGGAAAATCTTCATCGTTTTTTAATGTATAATTTTGGAATATTTACTTTACTTCAGTTTGAATTTGATTCAGAGTATTATCAAAAGATTTGAAAGTTTGGTCTTGCTTGTACACTAAAGGCTTATAAATTATTTTAAGTTTCTTAATCCACTATAGAAACCAGGAGGGATGCACACTAAACACAACTCCTGGGGATCGAACTACTGTAAAGAAAAAATATGAATTTTACTACGCCCAACAAACCGACAGTTCTATACCCTTACAGCTCTTTGTCATGATAGAAAATGTATATACTCTTTAAGCTCAGAGAAGACCTCCTCAATAGGTAACAGACTTGGAGAATAAATGCACATTCCCACGGCAAGGGTATTAAAACAGCTAGAAGGCAGGCAAGCATCGCTGCGCTTGGGGAGAGTTTTGTGACAGGTGGAGAGGGGGAGGGGAGGGGAGGGGAGGGTCGGAGGCTGAGGGACGACGCGAACACGAGCGGGTAACAGCGAAAATGTCAAATCCCTGGGCTTGGAATGCGATGTCAGGAGACGCAGAAAATCAATTTCGGCTACAAGTTTTCAATAAAGTGAAAATAATGTCGCAAGCCAAAACCAGCAGCCGCAACAACAAGAACAACAACAGCAACAGCAGCTGGAGAAGCAGGAGGAGGTGCGCGGGCTATTATCCTGGCGAGATAAGATGAAGCCTGCTGCTCGGGTCTGGCTGCTATTTCCCAAAAAGAAAATCAACGCCAAGTGTCAAACAATGAGGGTCGTTAGAGGCAGCAAATCGCAGCAGCAACAGCGCCAAAGTCAAGTGCACAAAGCGTCAAATGAAAAGGAAACGGGAGCGGCTGGGAGAGCAGCCAGCTCCGCCTCGGCCAGGGGATAAATCCATTGATGCGTAAACCAAATCGAAGCAACGCACACTGCCAGGAAAAAAAAAGTGTAGGAAAAGCCGAATCCGACTGCGACTCTGAAGACCGCCGAGTGTCAGGCCGGTGTTTATTTATGTGCCTGCGCCTTGTGATAAATCACTGACATTGATGCCGACAGGCAGGACGTCGGGCAGGCAGGCGGGCAGCAGGCAGCCCCCAGTCTTACCCCTAATCCAACCCCATTCAAGTGTGCGACATCCAAAACTTTAACCGACTCGAAATAGGCAGTCGACACGCTTCGCTAACAAGCCAGGCCGAGCCAGAGTCTGCCTAATAAGTTTATCATGAGCCTGGCCAGGAATGAAACGGAAAACTGTGTATTTAGAGTCGCAGGACTCGTTCATAGCTGGCGCCTATCTTCGAGCTGCCGTTTTGACAGGAAATAAGGCGACGCTCAATCACAGCGCGCAACGGAAATCGGAAGTTAGCAGGCGCACGATATCAGCTAGCGGTTTCCTGTCTGTCGCAGCCATCCCAAGACAAAAATATACAAAAAAAAAGTAAGTAAACACTGCTCAAAAGTGTTTGACTAACAGTTACCCAGCAATGCCCAGCAACTGGAAACCTGCGGCACAGAGCCATATAATCTATTTTTATCGATTTGTGCCACAGTTTTGCGAAAACTTAAAGTCTTGCCTATTGAATTTCGTGAATTAACCAAATATGCTCTTCGAAATGCGATATTTATCGATTCCGGCAGTTTTCAAAGTAGTCTTTTTGAAATTTGAAACTAGAATTCGGTATTGAACATTTTAATGCTAAAAAATGCCTGATCAACTTCAAATGTAGATGAGATGTGTATGAAAATATAGGCTAGATTTCGAAGGCCCAGCTTTTTAAACATTACATAGCCTCAAAAACTAGGCTCTGAACATTAATTTGACCGACTTATCGAACTGCGTTCTATGAATATGGAAATCAATCTACGTATGATGTAAAAGAACCTTAAACTATATTTTTGAGCTTAGCTCCTTAACAAGCTGCAGTTGTATATAGATTTTTAATGATTTCTTACAATTTACTTTATCTGCATACGATATGTATATATATAAGGCCTTCTCTTAGAATAAACGTCAACAAAAATCTGGCTGTAAAAATCGATATTTATCGATTTGACGTATAAAGCCCAGCTGCCGAGAGACTTTCTAAACATTTTTCTTCCTATTTAGCTCTCTCAATAGACTTTTGGCTTTACATTCAGTTTAGATATTATTCATGCTGCCTGTAACATGCAGAAGCTAGGCATTGTTATGCCTTTTGTATGGTTCATTTTTAATTTGTACAGGGTATAACAACAAAATACACAACGCTTTCAAACTTAGCGGCAACGCAGTCTCAGGCCATGCCTGACTGTGCCAGATAAAATGTTGTTGATTGAGACGCAGTTGAGCGTTAATAATTATCATTCTTTTTTCAACTTTCTCCCTCTCTCTCTCTCTCTATATATATATATATATAAGTAATATATATTTTTTACTGGCTATTTGCGCGGGGTGTGGGCACTACGTGAGCAGCCAGTTTTGATGTCTTTCAATTTGTGGCAGATTTATTTGTGCATTAACCTCAAATTTGCACTGCTCGAGTCGATTTCGGTATCGTGGGCTGCCCAACTGCCCCTACCTCGCTCCAGGCACTGATTATCGACTGCTGCTTCGGGGCATTCCCCAACTTCTTGCCCTCAAAACTTAAAATGCTCTTTGCGACTCTGTTGGGTGTTTGTGTGTGTAAATAAATTTCTTGCTCATTTTCACAGCAGAGCCATAACCACAGCAGCATCAGGAAGAGCAGGAGAAGCAGCATCAGCAGCAGCAGCTGTTTGTCCCAAAGTTTGAACGCTCCGAAACTTATTGATGCTGGTCATGTACTGGCCTATTGGGGGGCGTGGCACGGCTCGCCGCTGGCCACAGCTGGACGACTCTGGTTGGGATTTCAGCGCATTGATTTTTCGGTTGGCTCAGTTTTATGGCTTTTCATTAAAGTGCATATTAGACAGCTACTTTTCGCTCAGGCTTAACTATATAATTGTACTATATCCGCAAAAAGTAATCTACATTCAGCTCAAATTTGGTTAATCATGCATCCCATTTAAATTTGCATATATCTTTCAAAGGAAGCATAGAGCCCAACGCAAGGGTAAAATTATTTTAGCATTCCACCCAATTTTCACTTTTGTGAGTGGATTTTATACATGTTTCACAACAAATTTGGCATAAATCTTTCAAAAATGAGAGTCAAGGGAAAAGAATATTTTAGCATTCCACTCGTGTTCCATTTTTGTGGGTGGATTTTATACATTTAGCTAAATATTGTTAAGTTATGCATTGCATCACATTAAGTAATGCATATAGCTTAAAAAGGAAAAGTAGAGCAAAAGTCAAGGGAATAAGTATTTTAAGCATTTCACCTATTTTCCACTCATATGCATGGATTTAGACAGGAGAAAACTTGAGCAAATACAACATAAAAGCAAACTACAGTCAAAGATGTTAGAACCAAACCTAAATACGAAATTTATATCTTTAAAAATGTTGGAATGCTGTTTTAATTTAAGTTCTACTTAAGTTGTTGTCAAATTTCCCGTCACCAAGTGATTTAATAATCGTCAGCTGCCCGTGTCAAAAAAAATAAATAAATAGATACCGTTCCCTCCATTTCATTTCCTGTTGAGCTATTTATGTAACCCAGTATGTCAGGTGACAATTTCTGACTCAAATTTCAAGTGTTCTCTTGGACAACACACACATGTGTGCGGCGGGTGAAGCGAGGCCTCAGCTTTCTGTGACACCTGTATAAATAGCATAGCTCAGCGTGCGCTTCAACACCGCAAATTTGAATTTTTCTACTAAGCGCCATAAAGAAAGATAAGTCTGGGATATTCGTATATATTGCTTTAGCATTTTCTCTATCGATTCGCAATGCATTTGTGTGGTAAATTTATTGAGAAACTTGCCATATGCCAAGAAGAAGAGCAAGCAAGCGGCCTGCTTATGAAAGAATATTCAATTTCACTGACTGCAAGATACTCTGTTTTTCTATGAGATAATGGGCATGGGCTTGGGCGTGAACCGAATCAAAGCGGATCGAGCCCGATATTTAAATATTTATTTTTAAATCGGAATATTTAAACTGTGGCATACATTTTAAGCATTAATATTAACTTATTTATATAGAATACATATACTGTGCCTTTTGTAATCTATTAAAAATAAGATTTTTTACTCTGTTTACACGGGGGCTTAAACTATAAGCTTTGTGCTTATTCTGAGTTTATGTAAAACCACAATTGCCTAATTTATTTAAATTTGAAAATGTGTATAACCTAAATGCCCTAATTCTCTCAAATAAAAAGAGTATTTAAAACTAAAGTTTAAAATTAATTGCATTCTTTTTCTTGTTGCGTGCAAGAAAACGAACTAACGAACGAATGAAAATAACAAGCAGAAGCGGCAAATGCAACTTACTTTGATTTATGCAGCCACGGCCACGCCTCCTGCCGCAGCCAAGGCCACAGTTTGGCAAGCATTGTGCCGTGCAGCAGTGTTGCATGTGGTGCAGCAGCCGATGGTTGGGCCAGGCGATGCTCCATTAGCGTCATGTGCCTAGCAGCAACAACTGTTGAGTTGTGCTTTGGATTTTCAGGAATTTTCTTATGAATTGCCTTGCTTTTAGTTAGTTTGAATATTTCATGTATCTCTGCTGGCGATTGTTGTTCTTCTTGTTGTTGTTGCTGCTATTGTTGTTGTTGTTGTTGTTATTGTTGTTTAATTCATGCAGCAGATTTCGTTGCATTTTATGTGATTTTACTTCGGTCTTGTGCATGTGCGTGTTTTCTTGTGTTTTTGTGCTTGCGTGTGTGTTGTGTATGTGTGTGTGTGTGTGTGTAAGTGTGCGTGTGTGTCTGTTATTATTGTTGATTTTCCTAATTTATATGAGCTGCTCCGTATGCTCTTGCATTTATTTGCATTCTCTGCGGCCGGCCACAGATGCTCTGCTCTGCTCTGCTTTGGAATTGCATAACAGGCCACGCGCCCCTGCCACACGCAGTGGGCGTGCCGTAAAGTAAACCCCAACTGTAAGTAGAAGAAGCAGAAAGAACAATATCTAATTAGAAAATATGTTGAAATAATCAACAAGTGTAGAGTACTTCATTGGGATATACCCTGTACAAACAGAAATATCGCGTTTCTATCGCTTTCTTATCTTCCACTGCGAAAGCTTGCCACACTTTTTGGAAAAAGAAAAGTCTGGCAAATAAAAAGCTGAAAGAAATACTTTTCATAGAGTAAATTTTAAAGTTTATATACATTTATCGCTTATCTTTCATCCATGAGATATCCTTCCATCTGGCAGCTAGAAAAGCGCACAGAAAACGATTCTTTCAGCAATTATTGCTTAACGCCCTTTTATCTCTTTCTTATCATCCAATGCATAATAGCGGCCCTTCTCATTTAGGGCATGGAAAATATCAACTATCATTTCATAAAAAGCCTCGTCTGGAAGATATAACCTTTTCCCTATAAGCTCATAAGTCTACAGGGTATATTAAACATGACAATAAATAAATGTTTACAGATTCTTCAATTTTCATAGCATACTTATCAGCGCAATTAGGAAATATTTCAAATTGCTCTAAAAATAATGTCGTGCCCATTTACCCTCAATTACACACCAATATACACACACACACATACTCCCACTCATATAATAGCATTAGCAGCAGACGGCGGGTGTGGGGGGTGGGCGAAGAGGGGGCGATGATTGCCGTCCATTTTGTTATTTTCATGGTAAATTATTTGTATTTGTATTTTCATAATTAATTTTCTTGCCGCGGCTGCTATTGTTGTTGTTGTTGGAGCTAAAATGTGATTATTTGATCTACATTCGTCGATAATTACGGATTATTGAAATTTTTGTTGTTTGCATTAATATTGAAATAATTTGATATTGATAAATAATTACCTAAAATGTTCCCAAACTAAAATATGATATTATAATAAAAATAAATGCTTTTATTGTATCTCGCTTTCTCCGTGCGTGTATTCGTTTGTTTGTGTGTGTGTTCGCATTTGTGAATCGTTTTAGCCTTGCGGCTGGCTTAATGGTTTCATCCATACACACATGTACATATATACACATATAGGTATATATATAGATATATATCTATATCTATCTATATAGCACGCACTTTAATATGTTGCTGCATTAGTGCGTCTAACTTTTTGTTTATTTCCCAGGCTGGAAATTGGGTTAATTAGTGGTCACTTTTTATGTAATATTCTATTAGTGTGATTGTGTGTGTGTGTGTGTGTGTGTGTGTGAGCGGGGGCGGAGTTAGAGTAGGGCCTATGTCAGCTTATATTTCTGTGTTTCATGCACAAATCCAGCATAGCTTTTAAGTGCCTGTGTTTTCAATTGATGAATATTTAGATATATATAAATTGATCTAGATAAACAGAACTTAGTGAAAGCTGCTTATGTAAGAGAATTGTAATTAAATAAGAGTTTATTATATTTAATATTAATAATAACTAATTATATATTGTCCTGACTGAAAGGGTCAAAGATTTAATGAACGAAAAGCCGTAGGTCCCCAATTTTGGTGTACTTTTCGATGAACTTAATACATACTTTCAAATAGACATGGAGTTCAAGATAGTACGCTTAGATTTTAGTTTTTCGTGAGCGGAAACTGGGTGAAAAACTTATATCTAAAATATGAAGCACCGAGGAAGGCCGGGTAATATCCGCTAATACTAGATATAGCTGAATATTTAGCTAGTCAAGGCTTTTGGTAAAAATTTAAATATTTTACTTTTTGCAAGATAGATAAGTATGTTAAGTATATCAGGCAGCTAAACAAATATGAGCAAGGCTTAAATTTCAGTATGATAAAACTAAAGTAGGAACTTATAGGTAAGAAAGCTATTTTTATACATTTTATTTTATGTTATTTGTATTTGTATATTATTAATATATTTATTTTTTTAATTTAATTGAAATGCTATAACTATTTCATACTAAACCCATACGAATAAGTTAAAAATCAAAAACCGCGCCCTTTCAAAATCTACATTTAAAGATCTAAACCAAATATCTGCAAGTGTATCAAATAGTCGGCTACATTGAAATAGCTATTGTTGCTCTTTGTTTCCAATTTGAAATTTTTGTTGTACCTTTTGCCATATATTTAACTTGTTGTCGCTTTATATCTGACTGTAATGAACTTTTATGCATTGTCATTAAGTTTTATTGTATTTATCTGCGTGACCCTCTCTCATTAAGCCCCCCCTCAGCCCTCCCCCAACCCACACATACACACATGCGCACACATTTGCAGTGGCTTTTGTTTGGCCTGTGTTTGTTTTTTTTTGTTGTTGCAAACATTTTAATAAATTTAAATCATTTGTTGCATTTATTTTAATTATGCGCATTTAAAATGCATTATGCTGCACGCTTTAAAGGCCCGCCATTTGTGTTGCGTGCTGCAGGGGTAGGGAGGGGGAGGTGCGAGGGGGGCATTGCGTTGGCGCGTAATTTAATTTGGCTGACAGAAATTCAATTATTTGCGTTTTTCAATGCGAGGCTAACACAAAATTGTTGTCAAAAATGCTTCATGCATGCAAAACACGGCCGCCCCCGTTGGCAATTGCGTTGCGTAGGGAATGCCGTGGCTGGGGTTGGGCGGGGCTGATATTGGAGAAGGGGGGTTGGGCCCCCCCCTTGGGGACGGTGGCGACGTCGCATGTTGCGTATACGTGTTTTCATTAAATTTTTATTTATTCGGCTTTCATATTTCCCAGCATAAACGGTTCGTCTGTGTGCGGCTCTTACGCCAAGACATGGGCACAGTGGGTAAAATGAACAATTTAACAGGCACAAATTTATAGGTGCAAAAATCAAGTCTCACATTTTACATGGGCGAAGAAATGTGTTTCTTTTTGCAAGAAAGCGTTCGTCGTTTTATCTTATTACTTTTTCATTCATTGGTGTTTTTTTTTTTTTGTGTACTGAAAAATGGGCTGAAAAGTACATGAAATAGAATGGGCTGTGATAGCAAAATGAAACTAGAAGCAAGACAGAAGAAATAACTTTGGGCTGCTTATGACTTTAAGGTATTTGTTGCCAACGATTTATTTCCAAGCGATTGTTTCCATAGAAGTCAAATGATATAGCCGACCGATCTGCTGTGATTGTGCCAATGTTTCATGTACATGACTCCCACTGTGCAGTTCAGACTACGACGTCGACGTCGACGTCGCCTTGGAAATTCTTTAGGTGTAATTTCATTATTTCAATGTTTTACTTTGCTGAATTATAAATGAGAATACGGTTTGTGTGTCGCGTTTATGGCTAGTCATGTGTGCCACCCCCTCCACCCCCAGGCAGCCCCCAACCCCTCACTTTATATATATCTGTGTCGTTACAAGCACATGTTTTGTTATATAAAAATTATTTCCTTTTTTTTATTATTTTTTGGAGTATTTTCCCATTTGTCGCGCACCTCAAGCAATGTCATTTGGGGCGTTGGTGTCAAAGTTTCGCTCAAAGCCGGGGCCAAATGTTTTCAATGAGCCACGCAGCCACGCCCAGCGCAACGCCCTCGCCCCCTCACCGCCCAACGGTCAGCTGCCATTGCACGCTCGCAGCTCATAAATATTTGATAATGTGTGGCTGTCAGTTAGACGTCCAATTGAGTGATTTCTTTGCCTTGCGCTCCGCCGTCGTCCGCCCGCCCGCCTGTCACGCCCGCTCTTTTGATTTCCATTATGTTGTTTAATAATTTCACTTTTTTTTATGTATGTAGATAGATTTTACGGCAAAGCAGCTGCAACGCTTCACACAGGACGCCAAAGCAATCGCTGTGCCTGCCCTCTGTCTCTGTCTGCTGTCTCGCCCTCTCCTGTCCACGTCTCTGTGTGGCTGACAGCTTGACGTCTATTGTTGCGGGCGCCGTATTAGCCCTTTTTGCTGGCCGCCCGTTTGACATTTTGACAAAATGTTGAATAGGCAGCTTGTGTTGAAATTGAATATCATTAGCGCATTTGGCTATAATTGCCGCGGGCCACGGGCCACGTTGTCGACAGCGACTACAAATTACACATATCACACATACGCCGCATATGGCGCAATACTATTTGCCGATTCGGCTAGCTTTATGTGTGGGCGTGGCAGATTTTGGTGTAAGCTATACAAGTGTGGACAGAAAGAGTCCATTTTGTGTAATTGAATATGAAAGGAAGTTCCAAGGCATGTCGCCCGTGTACAGGGCATCTTCTAGTCGAGCAGGTTGGCTGCGTTATCGTTATGCACGCCTCTGAGCAGAGCATTGAATGTGGCGCTTAGCTGAGGCTTATAACTGCGACCAACTGGCTTTAAATCTTAAGCTTATTGTGTATACGCCGTGTGGTTACTTGTCTCTCCCACTCTCTCCCTCTCTCTCTCTATCCCACAGTATTGGCCAGGCCAACACACACACACACACACACACAGAAAACTTGGCAAATTAGAGAGCATGCCACATTGGCGCTCAAATGACAGAGCACAGAGCATGTGACTGGGTTGTTGCAACAGCTGCCGTTACTTGACACTGCCACGGTGCCAGCACCTAAAGCAAATGGCCAGCAGGCAGCAGTAGCAGTAAAAGCAGCAGTAACAGGCAGCAGGCAGCTGGCGGCAGTTGCAGAGAAAGTCGCCAAAGTTTTTGGCCCCGAAAACTTCAATTTTGTGTGGCAACAACAAGTTTTGGTAACCGCTTGTGTTTAACACTTTCTGTGCGCGTTTTTAATTTATGCTTTAATTTTAATTGAAAATCTAATTAGAAAGCAAGTGGGCGGGCGCCAATCAGAAAATGCTAGGCTAGGAAATACCCATTTGCCTGGAAGCACAAGCTCCAACCGAGTTTACTCTTGGACAAGGTTCAAAAAAATATTCCTTCTGAAAAGAATGCATAACTTTTTTCTATCGCTTTGTTATCTTCCTTTGTTCATTACATATTTAGAATTGCCAAACTATCGCTTGGGGCGATAAATAAACGATATAGCAATAATCAT